CAAATTTCAGTATACAATATATTAGAAGCTACAGGTCTTCAGTGTTCATCTACGTCTCCCGTGTATAGAGAAAAAGATAAAAAGCCCTCAAATGCATTTCCCTCGCGCGCGTTATTCATATCGATCACAGGGCCCAGCACCGTAACCTTGGTTACCACAACGGGCTGGAAAACCACATTTTTCTGAGATCCTCCACTAACAGTTTATTATTTTCAAGATCCTTGATGTTTCTCTACTTACTAAATACTATTATTACATATTATTATTTTTTTATTATATTGGTTACGTATAAATACATTATTTTTTAGATACCTCCTTAGTTATACTATTTATTATATCTATAGTATCATCATCATAATGGTAAATAAAAAATAATAAGTAATATGGAATTATATTGTTGCATAAACCCGTACAAATATATTCTATTGTCTTCTCGTAGTTCACTTTTGAGTGATTTCAATAAATATAAAAATTAAAAATATTAAAAAGTACTATTTTGAATATGTTATGGAAATTAGCTTGAATGTAAATACCTACGTGGTGTGTAATCTCATKCCATGTATTTTTTAACTTTTTTTACCAATAATATTTTAATGTAATGTTTCATTTAGATTTCTGACATGCATGTGTAATTCTAAATTCCAACATTTATCTACTACGTATTTCATATATGATTGACAGTTGTAATTTTTACCCCTCAGAAATTCTTGTATGAAAATAATGTCTATTGTTTAACATTTTCAACCCTTCATCGAATAATTTCCGTCCGTTTTATATTAAATGGCGATGAATTTATACCCCCACCATCGAGCTCTCTTCAACATGTGGAATTTCAGGGTTTCATAATTCGATTGTCGTACAGGCCACTTATTTTCTAATCCCCCCTCCTCTCCTCCTCACACCAAATACCATCAACTGCTACCGCTGTAGCAACGCCACCGTGTTGTTCTCGCTCTTCGTGTCTTTTGTATAGCACGCGATACACATGGGCGCACCGTTGCAGCTGTTGCAACGCCACCCCGAATTGCGAGCAAACTATAATATGTGCATGTATGTATATATTGCCRTATCGGTAATCATTTTAAAAGGACAGGACCGTTGTGGTAGTATACAGTAAGAAAATAATTTAACGTAACATCACGTGCCCATTTGTTAAGTTTTTTTTTTTTTATTGAAAACCGTTATCCGCTTTCTATTTAGTTGATACATTTTTCATTCATTTATTTTCTCATATAAAAAGATGATATCAGCTAACTGTTGTAGTGGAATTTATTTATAAGAATAATGAGAATATGAACATTTAAATATTTTTCAGTTAATTGCATGGCTTTTAATTATAGCTACATTTATTTAGCAGATAGATATGTCTATAAAAGTCTAAAAATATTGAAGACCTATTTGATAAATATAAAAATTTAAAATTATGTTACTTTGTTGTGTAATTATCATCATATTTTATGTTATTCACAAGTATTTGATTTTATCAATTTGTTTTTCAGGGTATGTGAACAAGAAATGTGGAAAAACGTCACAGATGATAAAGGTTTACAGTACAAAGTGAGAGTAAGTATTATCTAAAACGTTACCTATACCGAAATAATATTGCATAATATACAATAATCAATTTTATTTTATTTCAAAATTGATTCAATTTAGTGTTTTTTTTTTAAAAATATTTTATACGATTTTAATGGAATAGTATTAATTATTATACCTTATTTCGTGGTATTTTATTTCAAAATTGATTATCTTTATTTATTTGTATTCTCAAAAATAGCTTACTAAATATAATATCTACAATGACCGTTATTATTTTTATATTTTTTAGACCGACAAGCCACAACGATGTATAGTGAGAAAACGGTATTTAAAATGTCCGGCAGCCGTAAGAATGTCGCACCTCAAGAAATTTATTCGACTGAAGTATAACCTAAAACCTGAGGACAAGGTAAGCAAATTTATTAGCAGATCATTTATAGTATTACTTTATGTACAATTATTTTGTTTCTACKTAAATGCTATTATTTTTTTTTATTTTTTTTATGGTTAGGGCTTCGACAACTGAGGTCATTAGCCTGGGGAACTGTAGGGGAAGGTACTGTAAGGTTTTAACTCGTGGGTTTTTTTGGCAGAATTTTGAATGGGCACCCGTGGGTTTATGCCATGCCCGGTTGGGGGCCGGCGGCCTCTCTCTCCAGACATCGCGAAATGCCCAAAGAGCGATGCCGCCCGTGATCGAGATTCGAACCGGCGACTGCGTGCGTCGCAACCGACGCCTTAGTCCGCTCGGCCACTCCACCCCCAAATGCTATTATTATTCTTTCGTTAAAAACACATTTTGATTACACTATTGGCGCATCGGTGTAGTACAAAAACACAATAACAATATTAATGTTCAGTTTTTTCCTTGTGCAGTTGTTTCACAAATTCTACTTGAAATGTAATCACACTGTATCTCATTATTGATAAAATYGCAAGTAAATATTTCCTACAGTCCTATACTATAGTAGGTATGTGTACCACCTTGACTTTATGTTAAGTATAATTTTGATGCATTTATTTACATATTATGACGTGTTATCCCACAGGAACATAATATGTTATTTATACACAATATCGTCAATAAGCTTTTATGAACATATTTTATTGCCTACATACTACATAATCAACAAGAACACCAAAAATACATAGTCTACGTTTATTGATTTTGTTTTTGAAATCCCGCATTAATAAACTGTATATTGTATAGTAGTTAAGTTATATTGCACTGACAAGATATTTATTTACATGTAGCAGATACAGAAATAACTTTGTGGTAAAAACTTTAAGTACCCATGTGATTATGTACACTAAACGTTAACTTTGTTTATATTTGTATWTTTTTTTGTGGAAAAATAACTTGATTTCTGTAAAACAATACCTCTCAGTTGATAGWATACAAAAAATGTAAWTTCCACGTGAATTTACAACAAAAGTGTATATTCTATCATCATTTTTTCCACGTAAAATATTATTTAAAAATAGTTATTTCAAGAAGCAGCCCACTGGAAAAACTSCCAAATCCCTGGTGGTTCAAGGTGCCACTAGTTGTTATATAATAATAATATATTTTTTTGCAATAATACAAATTATAATAACAATTTTGTCCAGATTTCGGTTTACCAATTACTGACTTATGTTTACTTATTCCCAAGATAATCCATTATAAATAAATAATAACTATTCACGGATTATGTCTGTGGTGATTGTGTGTAGACGATYTATAGTCGGAAGGTCGATTCGTTGTCTTAAATCACCTTTTTTTTTCAGGTCGAATTGCTGTACAGGAGAGAAAGCCTACCCGAAGAATACTCAATAATGGATATCGCGTATATTTACACATGGAACAGAAACGAACCTATGAGGTTCTTTTACAAGATTAATGCTCGTATGATGGTGCCTGTAATATTGCCGTCAGATAAACTTAGTACGACGTTGACAGATGTGACCACAGAACCCATACTCTCACCGCTACCTCACACTGCCATGGAAACGACGCCATTGCCCCCACAAATAAACATGTCGGGTCTTAATTCGATCGTCGAAACGACAGAAGAAGATAAGAAAAAAAGTGTGCCACAACTTTTGAAACTACCCATCAGCGAAGAATCAAAAGTGATTGAGGGAGAACAACTGCCTAAAGTAGAATCGAACGTAAAAGAACCGACGATAGTGATCGCAAGAACAGATGTATCAAAGAATGATCGTCGATCATCTTCTCCTCCGCCAATAGAGTCACTGAACCCTCCCATATCGCCAGAAGGTAGTTCGAGGAAGGAAAATGTTTCAGATAACGTCAGGAACAATTGTGCCAATGAATTGTCGAAATCAACCCCCACACAGACTATGGTGACAGAAGAAGAAAAATCTGTTGATCTCGTTGAACATCAACAAACTGGCAATACCACCGCCGAAATACCTATGAAAAAATTGGAAAAACTAGTTGACCAGCAGCAGCAGCAGATGCTCCCGGTTGTTGTTACTAGTAACTCTTCACCTTCTGCTTCGCCATTGCCGAAGAAGCACAAAGGCGTCGGTGAATCCAAGCTCAATTTATCCATCACGAAACTGATCATGAAGAATAAGAATGCTTCTGCTGCTGCCAAATTTGTTCCTACTTTGCAGCAAATGCAACAAATTGGTATGCATACATCCATACCTAGCTTCCAACAACAACAACAACAGCAGCATCAGCAGCAACAATCTTCATCTCTACAGCCTAATGCTTACGTACGTCCTGGATTTCCTGGCATGCATCCCTTCAAAAGGACTCCAGAAGCGGCACCTGTTCGGAGCCAAGCGTCCACCAATCGCCCACCTTTTATTCCGGTGCGCAAGTCCTACGAATGGAATAAGGCCAGAAGCTTAGCAGCTAAACCACTACCATCACCTGTAACKACTTCTGTGAAAGACAACAAGATGAATGAGAAGTTACCCATGACGGYTGTAGAAAATCCAACAAAGAAACCGATGGCTGATAAACCCCCGACAACTGTCGTTAATACAAGTATGTTATCGAAAAATTCAGACGAAATGAACGCGGCACAAAGTCTTTTAAAAGTTGGCCAAGATCTTCGGCTCTTAAAGCCACCAACTGTCACCGATCTGCATGACAAGTACAACTGTGAATCGTCGCTACAGATCACAAAAGTCACAGAGCCAGAGACTAATCAACTACCAGCCGCTCACGAAAATCACTCGAATTCTCAGCCGAGCTTACAAATAATGCGAGTGCCGCCGGCAACAGACAAGTTATCAAAACCTGCAGCAACTACAGAAATTAGCAACGGTAACAACAGTATCAATACTGTAGTAGTGCCGAGCAAACCGGTCAACAAGAAACCTGTACCAAGCCTGTACAGTATGCCAACGAAACGAATGAAGGAAGACTCTAACGTACAAAGTAACAACGTTACAGACAACAATCGTATAGAGAGGCGCGTGGACACGGAAAATGGCGTTCTTAGTGTATCTCTGTTGACCGAAACTTCTAAACAAGACATGGATGCCAAGCGTCGTGAAATCGTACAACCGGACGTGTCTATAAAGCTAATGACGTTCGCTACTGAATCAGTGAAGAAAGCACCAGAACTGAGTCCAATCGCTAGCAGTGGCTGTAACAGCAAGAAAAAATTGGATGAATTGAATCCTATCACTAKCGGTGGCGCTAACAACAAAAATAAATTGGATGAATTGAGTCCAATGGCTGGAAGTGGTGCTAACAAGAGAAAATTTGATGAATTGAATCCCGTCGTTRGTGGTAGCGCTAACAACAAGAGAAAGTTAGAAGAGCTGAATCCTATCGCTGGTGGTGGCGTCAACAAGAGAAAACAAGAAGACCCCGAACGGAAGGTGACGCCTCCGAGACTTGGACTGAATAAGGATGACGTACCGCAATTGATCGAGATCAACTCGTCGCCGTACGCTAAACTATTGCCTACCAAAAAACAACAATCTACCCCGAAACAGCAACAATCATCGAAACTCCAAACGGTTACGAAACAACATTCGGCTATGAAACAGCAGCCTACTTCAAAACTTCAACCCGCGACCAAAGTGTTGGACTTGTCCAAGTCTCCACCAAATGGTTGCGTAAAACGATTAGCAGCTACTGAAGGCTCCGGTAATTGTTCTCCACTAAACWCGAAAAAATCAACCAACTCTGTGCAAATGGTACAATCATCAATGACTACTGGAACTACTTCGGCGGCCATCAACTCAAACGTGTTGTTTGCTGCCCAAAGGCAAGCTGCCGCGTTTTTGTTGAAACAACATTTCGAAACATTGAACAACGGACTGATGCGTAACGGTGGCAAAGGACCCATCGAATGGCCTAGAACTATGTTTAATCCTGCATTATTCGCCAGGCCACCGACCAACCTAAACAATTGAACGGTGACTTTGAGAAATGATTATGATTATTATTATTATTGCTATCGTTTTCTTCGTCTTCTTTTTTGATATCGTCTAGTGAACCCTATGGTTATCACTTATACTATTGAATAGTATTTATTATTTAATATTAGTTAGCCTATATAGTATGTAGGTACAAAATGAATTATTATTATTTTATTTGTTAATATTAATTATAAATTTCTTTTTTTGTTAACGAGTTCAGTATGTTATTCAAAGCTCAAATGTAACATTTTTTTTTATGTATATAAACTGTACAAACAAGACACAAGTGAAAAAATGATGATAAAACTTCATCATTATGCTATTATTTACACTATTATAAGTATATTAATAGCAGACTGGTTCCCTATATGTATTTATCCCATAATATATTTTTATTATACGTACATTTACAAAAATCACACATTTTATGTTGCTTAAACCACGACAATATTGTACAGCAATAACATTATTATAACTATATTTTGTATAAACTAATAAACTGAGCTATATATATTATTATATTTAAACTATTGTAATTTTTTATTATATTATTTATTTCAGGGAGAAGGGTATAAAACGCAAAGTATACAGATAGATACGTGACCTCAGATCTATTTTACAATAATTTTTAATTCGCCAAATTAAAGTTTACTCTTAATTTTATCTTTAATTTTAGAAACCGCGAAGTCGACAATGAACTACATGGACAATAATATCATTACATTTACCTTTTTTAATATCTAGATTAATTCAATAACTGTGACGCCCCCCCCCCGCTCCTCTCTATCCACTACTGATACCTTCAGTTATTACTTACGTTTATAGTAAGTTGTTTTGTCTAAGTGTTTTATGAACTGATTTATTAAGTTCTCTCTTCCAGCTTTTTTCTCTATTATTTTTTCCATTTTTGTTAATTTTTGATCGTGTTCATTTTTATCATTATATTGTCTTTATTCGTCAATTAGATTTTGTTGGCGGAGGTATACGTCTGTTTAATAAAAGTCGCCGCGTTTCATAATTCCCTTTTTTGTTTTTAAACACACACCTGTCAGATTACATCTGCCAGGTATTCAAGTTACTTCAAAACCGACATTTTTGGAAGTAAAAAATTATGATAGTAAGTATTGTGTTGCAGCCATGTGGTGGCCCATGGGCGTGTTTCGTGTATATACACACAGGTGTGCACACGACAATTGCTATTAGAATATTATTATTATATTGTAAAACTAGGTAGGTACATTCGGTAGTTTTTCCAACGTTAATTAACTGCCACGGTCGACGAGACCTGTATGCGTTGGAWTATAATATACGTTTGATCCCTGCATTGGGGCGTAGTAACCAATTGACTTATTATTCCATTATTTGAGTGTCGGACGAAAAATGATTGGTTTCAGTTCTACATTTATGCTGGTAAATATGGACTGGGTGGTAATCAAAAGCGATTATCGCCACTCAAGCACCCATTGAAATTTAGACACTTACGAAGGCTTCGATCAATTAATGTATCAGTTTATTTTATAAAACATATAATTAATTAACTGTACCTACATGTTTTTGCACATAGCACGACGCCAACTCGGAGCTTAGATGTAATATAATTACAACAAAGTATTCATGAAAAAACAATTATAATCAGTTATTTATAACCAATTAAGTGTAACTATACATATACACACCATTTAAATTATGGTACTTGCATCTGTAATAATAAGCAGATAAATAAATAAACTTTCTTGGTCCSCTCTCTACTCTCTAGCATTTCAGTTATCAGTATGGTTCGTTACTATTAAATAACTAGTAATAATTATAATTGTAGAGGAGGTTGGTTATTGACATCATCCCTACTTAACAATCCAAACAAAGCATACCTACCTATATTTCATTATCGTATATGTAGTTGAATGACGATATACCATTTGTATAAATAAAAAGTCTTATTATAATTTAAAACAATTAAATATTTCAAATAGCAATATTTATATTTTTATATAAAAATATTATGTGAGTTTGATGTTTTATTTAATATTAATAAAYAATTCCACGATTTGAATAAAATACCAAAGCGTTATACATATCATTATTAAGTAAAGTTATAATAAATAATAAACCTAAGTCGATCTAAACATGCAGCTTAAACTATGATAAACTTATTGGTCAGTTATAGTAAATCACTATCAATTATCATTATCATTTGTGCGGATATCCTATCCTAATATTGCAATGATAATGGACATTTCGTTTATGGAATGGTTTGTCATCGTCGGATCAACAGTATTATTATTATCTCTGAGCGATTAACGATTACAGTAACGATGTGCACGATCAAGATCATGCCTACCCCTCGTCTCGATGTTGTACATTTAGTTTGTTTTTCTATTATTTTTTTTAAATTTTTTTTTTTGGTGGTGTTGGGGGGTGTAGTTGAGGGGTCGAGAACGAGGGTCTTGTAAGTAAGAAATGTGGTTGCTACAATAATATTATTACCAGCTCATAATGTATTCCACACGAGGCTGTGGCGATGAAGGARAAGATAGTTTTTGCTTTTATATTGTTAGTGGAGGGGCATCTATCCGGGTTTTTTTTTTATTATTTAGGTACTGCTAAAAAGTTTGTTTGGAAAACTTTAACTCGCCGCGCATTAATCGATTCTACCGATGACGCCATCGGTGTGATCGACCGCGGTGTGTTATTGCACTATGATGTTTATAATATTATAACCATACTGGTATTATAGCGCATTAACGTTGTCCCGAGTGCATGTGCTGCTTGTGTCATGCCTCATTTGTTTGCATATTAATATTTTACACGGCTACACATTATTATATATATATATATATATAATACAAGCGCACGCACACGCGACAGTCGACATTTGTCGATCGTCCGCCGCGTAGGTGTGAGCTATATATAGGTAGTGTGTGCATCACATCGTAAATTTCTAGCACACAATCTATCACCTGAAAATTATACCACGGACAGTTTGATACAATATTTAATTTCAAAGATTTTTTCGCGCTTTTCACATAAAGCCGTTTTTAAAAATCCGTACGGACAAACCACAAATTAAATTGAAACAACTAGTATAGGTGCTTGGTGCTTAGAAGTATAACGATYGACCTATATGTRGCTATGTGCTGATGCTCTCTATGTATACAGCTCGTCGTCTAAAACCATATAGATATATAATGTATGTACATTATAAATTTATTGCCGCTGACGGATGYCGAATGAAAATACCATGAAAATGGMGATATAATTTTAAAACTAAAACTTAGATGTCTGTGCATCGCTTTTTGTATATTATTATGTTATGTTGACGTCAGCTACAATATTTTTATGATAGTTGAAATCGGAAATATTAGTCGCATAAACGGATACACGACCATTGACCAATATATTACGGATTCATCGTTCCGCTAAGAATCTAAAATAGTTCAACCATTATTGTAGGTACTTATTGAAGTGTTAATTGCTATCGTGCCTATATACCTACACGCCCTAAAATGGTAAACATACTCCCTCGTTTATACCTATATTATAGCCCACATAAATGTAAAATATATTATATTTGTATTTTACTATTTATATTTATTTATGTAAATAATATTCGTCAACATTCCCAGACACGCGTCTATTCTGTAGTACGATCATTTAAATGGCAATTATTGTACATAAGACCCGAAGACCGTGATTTTTGAAAATTATGTGCCTCGCGAAATTGCTCAGAAAACGGAGATTATCGTAGGTACCAGCTACTTAGGTATATAGCATAAAATAAATATTACATGTACGCTTGTACATAGGCGTGCGCAGGCCTCTTTTTCAGGATATGCAGAAGGTTGACAATAGAAAGTTATTTTAAGCTCGTAAAATTCTGACAATATGTATACACAATTCATAAATATTGAAAAAACCTACTGTTTAATTAAAAAAATATTGTAATAAATACCATTACATAATACAAGAAGTATGTATTTCGCAAATACTTGGTAGTTGATAACTGATAACTGCAGGATGTTTCAATTTTCCAGAGTCGATGTTCGCCTCTCACAGAACTTCAGGGTATGCAGCTGCATACCCTGCATACCCCCTGCGCACGCCTATGTGTACAAGCTATACATTCATAATAGAAATTATTTAGTATATAATATACATATTATTATTAAAGATCAATGTATACATAATATCATAAACAATACATTTGTCGTGGAAGCCGCCGAGTAAACTTTGCAGTACCTATAGCACAATAACTGCTTGTGCGGCTGGTTTTCTCCCTCGTCATTTTTCTCTCTCACTCTTCGCTCTTTATTTCTCTCTCTCTCCCTCTCATGGCACACAATAACTCACTCCCTTATATAGTTCATTCTGTTTGAAATCTCCCCATTCCTTTCGTTCGGGCGTAAAATATGTATATATATATATATATATATATATATTATACTTGGTGACGAGGTAAAAATGTTTAATAAACCGAAACTTTTCCCGTGCCGCCTGGAAGATTATAACGCCTACAATATTTTACGTACAAATATAATCTCTCGGTTCACGCACGGGCCAAAAAAAAAAAAAAAA